GGAACATTAATTTTTTTTCTCAGGGTTTCAAAGAGTTCAGCCCAAATTGGTAGGAAGGGTGGTAGGGCAGAGCTCATTGTAGCAGACACGAAATACAGAAAGAGCTGCCCTAGCTTTTCTTCCTATTCCGTGATAAAATGCCCGGAGAAAAGGCAACCAAAGGGAGAAAGGGTTAATTTTACTTCACGTTCCAGGTTACAGTTCATAAAAGCAGCTGGTCACATCCCCTCCACACACCTACAGTGAGAGGAAAGACAGGAAGCAGTGTGCCCATGGGTGCTGCTCTGCTCACACTATCCCTTTAGTACAGTCCAGGGTCCAAACCCAGGGAGCTGTACCTCTCACTCTCACACTCTCCTTGCGTCATCTTCGAGGCAATCCCTTACAGACATCTCCACAGACCAAGCTAATCTACACAGTCCCACAGTGATAACTCTCTTCCCATGTGATTCTAGATGATGTCACCTTGACAATTAAAGCTGATCGCCACAGTACCCAAAGCAAGATGTGGCCCAAGGGGCCCACCCCAGCTGCCCACTTCCTCTAGGTAGGCCTTACCTCCTACCTTTCACCTCTTGCCAGTAAAGTCATCATATAAAACCATCAAGGGACTGATCCACTCAGTAAGTCAGAGCTTCTGTGCTGTAACTGTCTCAGAAATGCTTTCACAGTCACACTTGGTGGTGTGCTTTATGAAGCGACTGGGTGTTTCTTAATCTAGTCAAATTAAAAACGGAGGCTAAATCTTTGTTTGTTTGTTTGTTTGTTTGTTTGTTTGTTTGAGTCAGAGTTTCTCTGTGTAGTCCTGGCTGTTCAAGAACTCACTCGGTAGACCAGACTAGCCCGGTCTCAAAGATTTGCCTGCTTCTGGCCCCTGAGTGCTGGGATTAAAGGCATGTACCACCACTTCCTCCCTAAAAACATTATTTTTAGAGCAAAGATAAATGATCAGACTTTCACTGATGTATCCCAAGTACCTTCAATATTCTTTGGAGAATCAAGTGAATAAATTGAGTATTGACTTGAATAGTTTTTGAATTTTTGTTGTATGCAAATATCAATGAAATAATAAACTTTCAAAGACACAAGTCAGTAATTTTTCAAAGGTTCACACTTGGTCCACAGTAGGTGTCTGTTGGGGAGGTTATGGAATGTTTGGGACATGGAGCCTTGCCAGAGAAACTATATCACTGAGAAGGGTTTTATGAGCCTATAACCTCAAGCCACCTCCTTTCAGATTCTTTAAATTTTTTTTATTAATTACAATTTATTCATGTTGTATCCCAGCTGTAGCCTCTTCCCTTGTCCCCTCTCAATCATACCCTCCCTCCCTCTTCTCTTCCCTTGCTGCTCCCCAAGTCTACTGATAGAGGTGATCCTCCTCCCCTTCCATCTGACCCTAGCCTGTCAGGTCTCATCAGGACTGGCTGCATTGGTTTCCTCTGCGGCCTCTCCACCCTCAGAGGTAGGTGATCAAAGGGCCAGCCACTGAGTTCATGTCAGAGAAAGCCCCTGTTCCCCTTACTAGGGAACCCACTTGGAGACTGAGCTGCCATGGGCTATATCTGCGCAGGGGTTCTAGGTTACCTCCATGCATGGTCCTTGCTTGGAGCTAAGCAAGGAGGAGGACCCTGGGTAAGATGCTCAATCCCCATTCAGAAAGGCAAACAGGGTGGACATCAGAAGAGGGAGAAAACAGGGAACAGGACAGGAGCCTATTTCTATAGAAGGCCTCTGAAAGACTCTACCCAGAAGGGTATCGAAGCAGATGCTGAGACTCATAGCCAAACTTTGGGCAGAGTGCAGGGAATCTTATGAAAGAAGGGGGAGATAGAAAGACCTGGAGAGGACAGGAGCTCCACAAGGAGAGCAACAGATCCTTTCAGATTCTTGGTCCTGTCCCCATTCCTTTCCTGACACAATGAACTTAAGTTGCGATTGGTTGGACTGTTTTTATCAAAGCAACAAAGGAGTGACTACTACAGTTATGGCCCTAAACACTCTTTCTAGGCATGTGTGCAGGCCCAGGATTAGGTCTTACAGTATTCCATTATCATATAGCCTTTGCCTTTGGAAACTTTATTATCATTAAGAAAAGGAGTGCATCCTTGAGAGTCTGATTTTTTTTTTAATAAGCCATTTTGTAGATACTACCTTGAGCAAATGCATTTTCACACAACATGTTAATAACAGCTCTTGTAACTGCTGGTGGTTTTCCCATTGCTTCCTGAGCACTGGCCCGCTTAGGCTTCAAACCTATTTGTTGGAGGCGGGTCTGATGTGTGTTACAGGCCCCCAAGATCTTGTCCCTGCTCAGAGGAGCACATTCTCACATAAACCTGTCCTTATTGTGTAAACCTATCCTTGTTGTGTAAACCCATCTAAGTCATTCTATCTGTTTGGTTGATTAAACAGCCTATACCTGTGTGTGGCAGAATGGGGTAGGCATGGCTGAGGTTCCTGGGCTTGGAGAGGACAGGAGAAGCATGGGAAACAAACAGATAGAAAGAGAGAAGAAAGGATGACACCACAAAGAGTTAGTGTGGAGCAAACAAAAACAAATACAAACACAAACAAACAAAAAAACAGTTGGGCTAAGAGGAAGACCCCAATAATGGCATGAAAAGGCCCAGATGAAGAATAGAAGCAAGTACTATGGTATTATGGATGGAAGGTAGACCACATGAGGAGGATTAAGGTGGATGACATTGGATGGGGGCTGGGAGATGGATGGTGAGGTTATTGAGCCAGAGTAGGTGAAATATCTGCCTGGCCCAAGGTAAATAAAGCAATAATAAATCTAACAGCTGTCTATGTCTCATTATTTGCTCTAGCAGGATAGATAATACAGCCATGATAATCTTAGGGCTAATAATTAACATTATATAGCTCAACACTCATTTATTGTTTACTACAACACCTATTATAAAGAGCTGCTGTACAACAGAAGGTGGTTAGTAGCCGAGAGCCCTGTCCACTGTGACTCTGAAGTGGAGAGCGGGCTTCAGATCCACTTCAGAGTCTGTGGCTCTCCTCTCCATCCGATGCTGCCTCACTTCTCAGGGGTCAATGGCCAACACACATAGAGACAATGTGCTTACACTGTTTGCCCCTCAGAAAGCTGCATTAAGCTCCTGAGACAGCACGACTTACATCAGTGAACACTACTGTGCTGTGATGTAAGATCTTCAAGTAAAGCCAGTGGTTTAAGACATCTGTCACCGGTGAGGTCTTTCCCTGATTCCTCAACCTATTCCCTCCGCTCCTGTTCTAGTAGGAATGTCCTTTCCTTGCTAAAGCGTGATGCAAGTCACAGGTGTTGTCAGAACACAGTCTGAGACTGGAGCTGAGCGAGGGGGATTCTGGGTGCTGGTGAGAAAACTCCAAGAAAACAAGACAGAACTCTTGTGACCGCAGCTTCTTCAAAACACGGAATTGCTCTCAGAATGTGTTTTCGTGCCGTTCGCAGGTGTATCGGACAGGAGTGAGTTTACTTCCGCTGTTGTTATCCGTGTGCTTCTGTGGAGAAACATGCCAGTGGCTCCTGTGGCTTGTCCTCGTGACTGAGCAGCTTACTCGCGTGAAATTGCCAGCTGCTTTAAATAAAGTGGCTTCCACTTTCTGGTTCCAGCTGCCAACGAGATCCGTAAGCAAGGTGCTAGTAAAGATTCTCTGCTTCCACAAAATCCTACTTATAATGTCCAGACATGTTTATTCTCTGAAGAGCCACTTTCACATGCATTTTTATTGTGATGACCTCCAACTCTGACTGTGGCAGGATGAGTGTGTAACAGCGTTATCTATAAGGAGAGAGCAGATAGGGACTATAAATAACAGCAGGAATAGGACCCTCCACACCTGGGAATTTATCACAGCAAGGCAGCCCGGTGGGTGCTGGGTATGCCTTTATTTTATAGGTAATACAAACAATGATAACTCAGTCACCTACCTCCAGTGCTGGAAATCACTCGGGGCCTAACACATACAAATGCTCCATCACTATACCGTACCCCCAACTTTCAATTTCTTCTGAAATTGACTTTATAATTCCAGATACTGCTCACAGATGCTGCCTTAGGGCTCCGTAGCGTCTACTGAGACACTTTCTATTACAAACTTTCTGCTATGTTGACTATACATGCAGTGGAGGTTGGGAAATTTCCTAGCATAGTCCTTGGTACGGTATTCTCTTTATTCCCACATACTCACTTCCCCTTTCTCCTTGAATCTTGTCCATACCCTTGAATCCCTCTCCTGGAATTTTGTCCATATCCACTAACTGCCTTTAAATGCTTGTACCACCTTTAAGTTAGTTGTTAATAGAAACAAATCAGATGGTCCCAGCAGTTGCTGATCATTTTTTTGGGGGGGGGGGGGGAAAGGATGCTTTTGGTTTCACAATGGGCTTGCTCGTTATTAGCCCGTTTTCTACTTCTTCCAAAGTCTACCGGTATGCCTGGTACTCATTTCCTCCCTCTATAGCCTCCCCTCTGTTGAACAGGTTTTGGATGCTGCGCCCTTAAGCGCGGCTCTTTATAACTAGCTCTTCCCGCCAACCAGACACTGAGCTTCTAAGAGGCAAAGTCTGCAAGCATTCTCCAGCCACTTTCTCCTTAGGCCCTTCGGACCTGGGCTTCGAACTGCGATCCATGTGAAAGTTGACTTGAGAAGAGACTACGCAAAGTCCTAACCCTGAACATCCCTACCGAGAAGGTGGTCTACCAAGGGAGGAAGTGGTGAGTGTAGGGAGGAGCCAGAGGAGAGTGGGGAGGAGCCAGGGGAGGGTGGAGATTAACCGGAGGAAAGTGGGGAGGAGCTGGAGGAGAGTGGTGCGAAGCCAGAGTAGGGTGGGGAGGAGCCTAAGGGTAGGAAGGAGGCGGAGGAGAGTGGGGAGGAGCTGGAGGAGGGTGAGGAGGAGCCAGAGGAGGGTGGGGAGGAACCGGAGGAGGGTGGGGAGGAGCTAGAGGAGGGTGGGGAAGAGCTGGAGGAGGGTGGGGAGGAGCCAGAGGAGAGTTGGGAGGAGCTGGAGGAGGGTGGGGAGGGCGGAGAGTTGCCCGGCGCTTAGGTGGAGTCCATCATGGCTTCGGCCTCTTCTGGCCGAGGGGCCGGGCTGTTGCGTTTTCTGCGGCTGGTCGGGCAGCTCAAGGTAAGGTCGGAGGCGCGGCCCGGCGGGAGGCGGCCGTTCAGGGGCTCAGGCTCCGGGGCTCGCAGCGCCCCCTCGCTCAGCCCCGCCTCGCGCGGCCCGGGTGTGCTGGGAAGGCGCAGGCCGGGAGCGAGCCGGGCAGGAGCTGGCTGCGCCGCCGCGGCTGCCACCTAGGCGGAGGACGATGCATGCCGCGGAGCTACAGGGGCAGGGAGGCTGGGAAGGCCCCCACGGCCCCGCACAGGAGCGGTGGAGACCTTCCTCTGCCGCGGGGACTCCCGGAAATGACTGTCTTAATAATTCAGGTTCAGCGAGCTTCAGCCCTTGCCTTGGCCGAGCTGGGTGCGGAGTCCCCTAGGGTCCAAGATCAGCTGATCCCGGCCACTGTGACTACTGTTTTTGTAAAATTCTTCAGAAGCGTAGAACTCCCTGGGAGAATGCAGACTCACGTGATCGCATCTTGATCGAATAAAATCCTTGACTGCGGTGGAAATCCCTTTAATCCTTCTGTGTCAGAATTGTTTATGCACAAAAGATTTTCTTATTGTGGAAATGAGGTTTTGGACAGCTCTCCCCCCCCCCCCATTCTCGTAGTTAGGAAAAAATACAGGGGCTTTGCTTTGCATTTTTCCTCGCTACTACGGAGCTTTGAGACGAGATGGGTAGCACAGCTGTTGGGTAGCACAGGCTCCGACCTCCACCTGTGGAGGGCTGGGATTCCAGGCGCGCATCACCAGGCTTACCACCAGTTTTGCTTTTATGGCTGTAAAAGCTTTGCGTGTATTGTCCATAGTTACACTTCATCAGCACGGAGTAAGGCCTGATGGACCTTTTGTGCACTTGGGAGTTGCATTTTGATCACTCACTGGTTTGATTTCAGATGAATAAAGCGTTTTTTAAGAAATAGGTTTGAAACCGTTACTCGGCTGACACTCTGACTCTGTGGCCATCCCCTGGCATTTTCGTGAAGAGCGCTTGTCGCTTTTGTTGTTGTTTCCAGCGGTGGTATTTTGTTTGTTTAATTCCTTATCTTATTTCTTAGAGAGTCCCACGGACTGGCTGGGTATACCGAAATGTGGAAAAGCCAGAAAGCGTGTCAGATCACATGTACCGAATGGCGGTTATGGCCATGGTGACCAGAGATGACCGCCTTAACAAGGATCGGTAAGTGACTGGACCACTGATACTTGTGCGGGTCTCTGGACTCTGTGTGAGGATTAGGTCACTTGCTAACCATAGAAGACTTTCTGTTCATACAGCGTGCATTGGTCTCTGTGGAAACAAGTGGGAAGTTAGGGCCTTGCAGAGGAGCATACTTGAACTGTACCTTCGAATTCGTATTTGTTTTGCTTTGAACAAGCTGCTTCTATGAATAGTGGCAGCCATTTGTGAGGCCACGTGGTTGAAGTTGTGAGGCAGTGAGTTTATAGGTGCTTTAAAGAGGTAGCGTCCCGTTAGGTAATCGGCTCATTTTTAAACTGCTTGGGCACCGCAGGACAGGGGTTTACATAGAAGACAGCAAATAAATTGCACAGACCCAGCATGGCTTCAGTAAAAATCACAAAAGAAGTTAGGGTAGGAGAATAGCCAATTATTCCAGGAGCACTGGAGATGTCCTATCGGTTGGTCTTCGTGGGTCAGGTGGCATCTGAGCTGAGTTCCAAAGGGTTGACACAGGTGAAGAAGTAGTAGAAGGACCTGCAGGCAGAGACACCATTAACAAAGCCCCGGTGATGGGAAAGTAGTGGAGTACTTTGGGGGGAAAGGGGAAGTGGGGTTAAGCATGGCAAAGTGTTCCTTGGGGAGCCCAGAGAGCCCTGTTGCTTTGCAGATAGTGTTAACATAGGGGATTTGCGGCCAAAAAAAACCCCAGAAGACAAAAATGAAGTCAGTTGGAGATGAATTAGGTCTGAGATTTGAACAGGACCAGAAAGAAATTGGAGGCAGGGAAACCTAGGAAGCTTCAAGGCCTTTTGTTCAATAGTAAGACTGCAAAAGACTAAAAAATTGCCAGCCCTTTTGGGGCACCTACTTCATTACTTGACTCTGTCATTCTAATGGTTATATTATATTATATTATATTAATTATATTGTAGTAATCATAGCTATGCATTTAATGATCAGTATAGAGCAAGAACATACTCTGTCACGGAGCCTATGCATGTTAGACCAGAACACTACAAGCAATGGCTCCCTGTTATCCATTTTACACTGATGAAATTAAGAGGGACAAACGGAAACATTTAAATTAAGTAATTTGGTACACTTCGGTTGATAGTAAGGTTGGTAGCCAAATTCAAGGCCCCATCTGTTCAGCTACTTCCATTACCCTAAATATTGGTGATTTTGGCAATAGGACATTGGAGGAAATGATTGATCCTAAATTTTGTGTAAGTAAAACACCTGGCTTTGTGGAACTTATAAAAGTGATATTTGTAAAATCAACCATTTATAAAAGTTCAACTTATTCTATACTCAGTCAGTGTGTATAGTATTGTGTTAAATATTCACAAACAATTGTGATTCAGAACTAATGTAGGCTGGTAGAATATAATTACTTTAGAAAATATTAAATAAAATATTCCATGAGAGGGGAAGAAAGAAAAACATATTAAGTTTAAAAATAGTACGGAAAAGAAACTTGTAGTGAATGTAATTTTGTGTAATTATTCAACGTTTCTCGCCTGGTCAGATGTATACGCCTAGCCCTGGTTCATGATATGGCAGAGTGCATCGTTGGGGACATAGCACCAGCAGATAACATCCCCAAGGAAGAAAAGCATAGACGAGAAGAGGTCAGTGTTGGTCATTGACTGCAAAAGACCGCAAGAAACATCTGTTGCCGAAGCGAAGAGAATTCACTAGCCCTGTTGCAGTAGAGGACAGCACCTAGCACTTCTCAGGAGGGGAAGGTCAGAGAGGACGTGCTTAGAGTTTTAGGGCCTAGGTGTTGAGATGGAGCTCAAGTGATGACAGACAACCAGCGGAGTCTGTATAGCATTTAGTACCAAATAGCTTAGATCTGGTGGGAATAATGAGGGAAAATCTAAGACAGTCTTGAAGTGTGTTACCCATACTGACTGTTTTTAGGAGGTTAGCAGTCTTCTCTAAGCAAGGCTTCCTTGGCTGGTGAATTGGTTTTGGATTATTCTCAGCATTGTTTCATATAAAAACAGAACTATAAGCCTGTTCCAGCCTTGTTTGACACAGGAACGAGTTGTCATGTTGGCTTCATTTTTTTTTTTCCCCATTTTTCAAGACAGGATTTCTCTGTGTAGCCATGGCTGTCCTGTAGCTCACTCTGTAGACCAAGCTGGCCTCCAGCTCAGAGCTTTGCCTGCCTCTGCCTCCCAAGTGCTTGGATTAAAGGTGTTCACCACTGCCCCCTGGCTTTTAAGCATACAGCACTCAGTATCCCAGGCAGTCTTTGATCCATGTACTAACCAGGCCAGACCCTGCTTAGCTTCTGATGTCAGGTGGGATGGGGTGTGTTCAGGGTGGTATGGAGGAGACAGGCTTCAGTTCTTGTTAGTGTGTCTAGATAGATGGCCTAACTGTCTCTAGACTAGTAGAAATAGCTGGGACATAACTCAACTGTAGAAAGTATATTCCTCCTGCCAACACTGCCGCCGCCGCCGCCGCCGCCACACACACATACTTACAGTGTTTGGAGAGAAATGGTCTAAATCGCAAATATGTTCGGTATTATAATTACTTTTTAGTAAATTTTAAGTTAGACCTTTAGAGGCTAGAAAAATAGAAAGTAAGAGAAAACACTTACACTCACAGAAATAAATAGCATTGATAAGACATTAAATCAACATCAGTGGAAACTCTAAATTCAGGGTCCAGGGCTAAAAAAAAAAAAAAAAAAAAAAAAACATTTTAAAAGAAAAGAAAAAAAAAAAAAAAAAAAAAAAACACACACACAGGAAGAAGGTTCCTTTTAATTCCTCCTCACCCTCACTCTTTCATCCTGTACAGCTGAAGGGTGCTATCCAGTAACCATTTCTGCAAATGACTTTTCTTGTAGGCCTTTGAGATGGGCCCTAAGTCATTTAGTGAGGAAGTCTTCATTGAGATGGTTTAGTAGAGAAGGTGTGTTTAGCTGTTGCAGAGATAATGGAGACTAGAGCTAAGAAGCCAATAGGGCTTTTGCCCCTCCAGAAGCAAGAAGATCCCATGAAGAACTGGAGCTAATTTAGGTTCAACTTGCCCTATAAACTTGTGAATAGTATAAGACTGTATCCATCCATTCCCCTTCTTCTCAAGGGACAGGCCCAAAAAGATAATCTGCACATCATGACGGAAGGAAATATTTCCCAGTGTGGGTCTAGATGGTTGTGAAAAAGAATTCTTAGGTTGCTTAGGTTACAGAATCCATACAGAAAGAATGCAGACTGCTGAAATTCTCTGTTGTAGAAAGAAATTGGCACTTGAACCAGAGGATGATGTACAATGAATCGTGACCCAGAGTAAAACACCTCACTCATGAAGCTCGTTGGAGGGTGTTGGTTCCATTTCTGCATAAATACAGATATCTGAGTGAAGAGTCCTGCTGAAGGAAGTATTCTCTCCTAGAAGTGCACGAGGGTTTGCTCCACAGAAGAGCATGCCAGAAACTTCTGGGGAAGAACCACAGACAGTGAAAAGGAACTATAGCTACCAGAGGTGGAGAAAACCAAGGATGTGAGACTGGATGGTCCTGATTTGCTGCCCAAGGGAAGACCACAAGGTCCTGAGAGTCAAGGTGTTGCTGTTTTCTCAAGGTGCCATGCTGTGCTTAGGAGAAAAGCCTTTCTGTCCCCAGTCTTCCTTGCTGCCACCCACTCCTGCCGATTCACAGAGAAAGAAATGTCATAGGCAGAGGGCCAGGCAGGCCTCTTGAAGAACATCAAGTTCTTGGCCGAGAAACCCAGGGCCTGAAGGAAGCTGGGGCAACACGACCTCTTCCTGCTGCTGGCCTGGGTTTGGGAACAAGAGGGTTGGCGTTCCCTAAACAGATGGCATTTATGAAGAGGAGTGGGCTCTCTGAGACATGCATTCAGATAATTACTGAAGGCTGCTCGGCCTTAGGAAAGATGAGCATAATGTGAACCAGAAGCATCATGTGACTGGCTGGCCAGGATTTAAGCTGAAGTGGCTGAGGGAAGAGGGTGGGGACAGGATGGGGACAGACTACTTAGTGAACTGGAAGGGTGACTGTTTTAGAGGACATTTGCTATTAAGATGAAAGGCAGGACGAGGGCACAAAAGACAGGACTCAGGCAGGGGACCAAAAGCAACACTTGCAGTCTCTCCCCCTTCCTCTGTCACGACACATAGACCTTTTATTATAGCCCAATCTGGCCAGTGTTGCCTACCAGAAATCACGAGGATCTAGGGGCTGGACTTAGAGGTTGGGGGTAGGAGTGTCTGGCTGCACTCCTTTGCACAGAGAGACACTTGTTCAGATGGCATGCAGAGTCGTGTTACACACACGTATGTGTGAGGGGCAGAGTGGCTGAAGAACTGGGAGGTGATGTGAGACGAATTGGACTTTATTGCGGGAGTATTTGGAAAGTAGAGAGAGTGAGAAATCAAAGCGAACGTTTAGAGGGCTCATGCCGAGTCATGAGCATTGCACGCGTGTGTGCTCACACCACACACACCTCTTAGGAAGGTACTGCCTTGCAAGCGAGAAGACTGCCCGACGAAAGGACTGAGTGACTTGGTCAGGGCGTGTCAGCAAGGAGATGCCAAGCCAAGGTTGAAGACCAGTCTGCATCTAGAACCTGAGCGAGCTACCACACCACTCCGCTGTGTCATGGTGTGAGTAGCAAGTGTGTGTGTCACAAAACTGAAAAAGATATTTGTTGATTTGACTGAGGTGCCACAGCAAAGGAAGAAGCCGGCTACCTCAAAATGTATGACTGAGTGATGCAGTGAAGGTATAATAGTGAGGTCTTGGCTCATTTCTAGGATCTCCAGTGAAGTTGATATCAGAGAGTTCATTTTAAAAGGCGTGGCTCTGTGGTATAAGCCATCAGACAAGGAGGCCTCAAAAGTATCATTCTCAGCTGGGGGCACTGTTGTGGAGGTCTTGTTTGGGCCACCAGATCTTATAAGCCCTTGCCTCTACGTGAAGAGCTATAGACAACGAATAGCTCTGAGGACAGAGGGTAAGTCTTTTCCAGGGACACGGCCCCTAACAGATTGCTCAGTGCCATCCAATCAGCTCTAGACACACACATGTGTACACACACACACACATACACGCACACAAGCACATGCAGCATTACACGGACTCAGCAGGTTGTAATTATATATGTGTATGTAACCCATAATAATCGAAAGAGAGGTGACAGATATGAGAGGGAGTGAGGAACACAGCAGAAGTTGGGAGGATGAAGTGGGGATAGAAGTGATGGAGGTACAGGACTTAGGTATGAAGTCCTCAAAAAACGGTTTAAAAAAGGACAATTCTCATTGTGTAACAAGTTACGTTGATAAATTTAGATCTCAGGAAAATCTGTTTTAAGAGAGAAGCAACATATTTGTTGTGTTTTGTTTGCCAAAGAACACAGTAATTGTAGTCAATAAGGAGCTTTGTAGTCAGTCAGTATTTGGATGGTGTGATCTCCGAAAAGCTGATTCAGTCTTGGGATGCATTCATATGAATAACGTATCTTAGCCAGGCAGTAGTGGTGCACACCTCTAATCCCAGCCCTTGGAGGAAAAGGCAGGCAGATCTCTGTGAGTTCGAGGCTAGTCTGGTCTACAGAGTGAGTTCCAGGATAGCCAAGGCTACTCAGAGAAACTGTCTCAAAAACCCAAAATAAATAAAAACAAAGTTTCTTGCGTAAGGGAGGCAAGGGCTATAATTTGTTCTGCCATATTCAGTGCTGGGTCCATCAGCCAAGAAGAGGAAGGCAATTGCTGTTCAGAGTGTGTAGCACGTTCTCTTAGATTGGACTTTAATATTCCTATACACAAATGTCTTGAGGACTTCTAAAACAAAAGAAAAAGTAATGTATTTCTGGTCTAGTATAGTAAAAAGCAATGTTCATAGAAAAAATTAATATATACAAATGTATTTTCTCAAGTACGTTACTGAGATTTATGATAAACAAGAATAAAAGTATAAAATTCATTTCATGCTGCTTAGGGTGGTGTGATACTATATGACTGAGCAAGGCACTCAGGAGGATGATGGTGCTACTTGTAAGAGCAAATTGCTGGTACTGGTAGATACTGCTTGCTCTAGATACAGTTTTATGCTTTAGGATATTTTTCCTTCCAACAGCTTATAAATATACAGACAAATACCCATTTTCATTTTCATCGCTTTTCTCCAATTCATTGTTTTATTTTATATGAGACCTTGCTATTACTGAAGTTGATGCTTACAGCTTATTCTTTTCAAAGAGTTTAGCTTCTGGTTAACGACAGAATAGAGTAAGAGGTAGACAGGATAAGATAAAAAAGGAATTTAAGGCAATTTGGAAGCCAGTTGGCCTTATAAAAAATGTATGTTAATGACTACTAGGATGATTGAAATGCAGGAAGAGACTGGCCTGAGGGCGCCATGTGTGACTTAGAAGTATTTATGAGCAAGCAAAGAGCACCTTTTACCCTTATATTCTCTACCTTGCTCTGGAATTTGGATACCATCACTTGTGGTGACAAAGGTGCCTTTAGACTCTGCTGCACACATGGCAGAAAGGCCCCAGAGTGGTCAGCAATGAGTTGCAAGGACATCCCCTCAAACAGTGGCCGGGGACACAGTCACTCTGACCCAGCTGCCCACCGTCCTGCTGTTTGACCCTCTGTGGACAGTTAGAGGATAGGAGAGTGCTTTTGGGTGGCAGCCTCCTGAGGTGGTGAGGTCTTTTGGTACAGAGAGGACAGAGCGTTCAGCAGTGCATTCTGGGAATTTGAACCTCAGAAGACCATGTAACTTCTGTTACATCAGTGACAGTGATTGCCTTTTTGTGTGATGCTTTTAAGTTTTGCAGTTATGGCAATAATAGAAAATGAATATAATACTTTAAAAAAAAATTGGGACCAGCAAAGGCCAGTTTATTCTACTGGGAGTTATTTAGAAGAATCTGAGTTCCTTGTTTGGCTTTTGTAGATGGGATTTAATGGTTTTATATTTCAGGAGGCTATGAAAGAGATTACCCAGCTGCTGCCAGAGGACCTCCGGAAAGAGCTCTATGAACTCTGGGAAGTGAGTATACCTACTGGGCTGTTTTATTATTATTATTATTATTATTATTATTACTATTATTACTGAATTTATACGGCTTATCCATGTTAGTTTCTGAATTAAAAAAATCCCTAACTCACAGTTTTTTTTCACCTTGAATATCTTAAGTACATTTCTCTCATTATTGTCTAACATAAAACATTGCTGTCAAAGTCTAATCATTATTTTATTTTTTATTATGTGCCAGAATCTATAAGAATAGATTCTATAATAGAATCTATAAGAATAGGAGTCCAAAGAATTTCTTTCTTTTTTTTTTTTGGGGAAATTTTTGTTAGAATGTATCTTTGTATTGATCAGGCTGAGTTACTTTCCTTAGTTATTTATAGTCTATGATTTCAACATACTTTAGAAAAAACTGTAATTGCAAGAAAATTTTATTGATGTCTAGTCTGTCTTTCCTTCCTTCTTTCTTCTTTCTTTCTTTCTTTCTTTCTTTCTTTCTTTCTTTCTTTCTTTCTTCCTTTCTTCCTTTCTTCCTTTCTTTCCTTTCTTTCTTCCTTCCTTCCTTTCTTCCTCTCTTCCTTTCTTATTTTCTACTATCCTATATGCTTCGGTTAGTTCGTTTTTTGCCAATTTCCAATGTTTGTCAATTTCTCTTTTTTTTGTAATAAATTTTTTTATTTTTTTAATATTTATTCTTATTATTAATTACACTTTATTCATTTTGTACCCCCCATAAGCCCCTCCCTCTTCCCCTCCCGATTCCACCCTTCCTCCCCTTTCTGCATGCATGCCCCTCCCCAAGTCCACTGATAGGGGAGGTCTTCCTCTCCTTCTTTCTGATCTTAGACTATTAGTTCTCATCAGAGGTGGCTGCATTGTCATCTTCTGTGCCTGGTAAGGCTGCTCCCCCCTCAGGGGGAGGTGATCAAAGAGCAGGCCAATCAGATATGTCAGAGGTAGTCCCTCTTCCCATTACTATGGAACCCACTTGGAAACTGAACTGCCATGGGCTACATCTGTGCAGGGGTTCTAGGTTATCTCCATGAATAGTCCTTGGTTGGAGTATGAGTCTCTGGGAAGTTCCCTGTGTTCAAATTTTCTTGTTCTGTTGCTTTCCTTGTGGAGTTCCTGTCCTCTCCAGCTCTTGCTATTTCCCACTTCTTACATAAAATTCCATTCACTCTGCCCGACAGTTGGCCACAGGAAACAACCTAGGAACCTGCTACAGAGGGCCTCTGAAAGCCAGAAGAAGAAAACAGGAAACAACCTAGGAACCTGCCACAGAGGGCCTCTGAAAGCCTCTGCCCTGCAGACTATCAAAGCAGATGTCAGTTTCTCTTAAACCCTTTGTATCTTAATTTTTTAAAACTCTTAAGGGTAAACTCCATTTCAGTTTTTATTTCTCTTAGTTATAGTTATCATTCTTAGTTGCCCTTGGATTCCACGTCACTTATATTTCTTTTTCAAAATAACCTCTATGTCTAATTTTTTTCTAGCTTGTTTTTTAATGTTTTACTTTTTTCATGTCTTCCGGTTCTTTGGGGGTAGTTTGTGGTAGATCTAATTTTAAATCTGAGAATGTCTTTCTGATGTGACTGTGGGGGTGTTACTTCCTATTCTGTCTTCTCGGTTTCTGTGAGATCTGGTCACTTTGATTTTCTGTTGATCATCTTGGTTTGAAATTATATCTCCTGAACTGATGGAATGAAATTTAATTCAGATCTTCCTCCCTAGGGAAGTTGTTATTGGTGGTGGTGGTGATGGTGTGGGATATCTGTTTATGTGTATGTGTGTGTGTGTGTGTGTGTGTGTGTGTGTGTTTTAATGTAATTTTAGGGAAATACAGAGACTTGTTTTTAGGGATTTCCTAACCATGTTGCCCTCTCCTATTTTTATCCAGGGCTTTTCTTTCTTAAACTTGATAACCTTTACTCTACTGAGTTTTGATTCTCTTGCCAGCATGCATCCCTGTCCTGGTAAAAGATGACCCAGAGTTCAGCCAGGGAAGTCTTCTGTAAATTCATTAGTGTTCTCTATACAATTGGTCGGATAAGCTTGCTTGTTCTTGCTGTGATAAACAATGAACATGAACAAAAACAGCTTGGGGAGGAAAGGGTTTATTAGGCTTGTGTCCTAAAAATAGTTCATCCCTGAAGGAATCAGGATGATAACAGAAGCAAGAGTAGAGGCAGGACCAGGAAGGAGCACTGTTTAGGGGCTTGCTTGGTGTGCAAAGACCATCTGCCCAGGGGTGGCACCACCGCAGTGGGGCTGAACCCTCTCACATCATGAAGATGCCCACAGATGTGCCCATAGGCTGTTCTGATAGAGGCAGTCCAATCTGGATTCCCTCTTCCAAGGTGACCCTCGTTTTGTATCAAGCTGTCAAAAACTGACCAGTACATTATACTGTATTTCTTAACACTCTTTTTTTAAAAAAAAAATTTTTTTTTCTCCTCACTTTGAGCAAAAAAGAAATTCTAGATTGGTTTGCTTGGAGTATTTAGTTTCCTTTGGCTAAATTGTGAACTTGAATTTAGTTAATATAACTGCCTAACTATGACTGTGAATGAACACTTAAATAAAATGTGATTTTTTTAAGTGCCTTTGAGATAAAGCAAAAATATATTAGGCTTCATGTTTAAACGATTTCCCCGTGTAAGGTAAGATTCAGCTCTTACCAAATTCAAATGGGTGCCTTTGTAAGACCACAGCTTCAAATTCAACCTAAGAAACTTTTCGGTAATTTGTATCACGACTCGCTGCCAGGAAAGTGTGACAGGCCTGTTATCTGAACACATCTGGGGTGGAATTACAAATGAGAATTCTGCAAGAAACCAGTTGGGAATACTTTGGTCTTAATAGACACATGATCCTGTGTAGCATTTATTAGAACTTGTAGCAGATGATTTATTCTGAGAACAGGAAAAAAATCTGTTTCACTCAGCAGTGAGATGGGAAAAGGTAGAAATGCTCCTCTTCTGCCACCGGATTCACCATCTCCTGCCACCAACACACATGCACAGTAGTGTGTGCAAAACTCATAGAATTCTCTAATGTCCCCAGTTGTTATAACCCAGAGGGACTTAACTGATTAGGTGGACCACCAGGACAAAGATCTCCAGGTAACCCCAGAATGAAAAGTAATTAGCAAAGGTGTTAATTACCTTAGAGAAAGAGGCAATCTGGTGAGAAATGAGGACAGCACAGATATACAAGTATACTCTTAAGCTCAAGTGGATGAAAGGATCGGGTCTTTTGGCTGAGGAAGTAGCTCTGTTTGTAGGTGCTTTCCTGACAAGTATGGAGACTTGAGTTTGATCAGAGCATAGGTTAGAGGAAGGGAGTGGGGGAGGAAGGAAATAGGGAGGGAGGAAGAGAGGAAGGGAAAGGAAAGGCAGGCAGGCAGTATGGTAGAATATGCCTGCAATCTCAAGTTCAGGGAGACAGAGAGGGCCAGATCCTTGGGGCTTACTGGCCATCTAGCCTATGTAGCAAACCATAGGCTGATGAGAGATCTCTTCTCTCTCAAAGAAGATGGACAGCAATTACAAACATTTCATGTGCACACACATGGACATATACACATAAATTAAATTTCTTAAAAAAAAAAAAAAGAATGTTGATCTTGAAACCAAGACAGGAAGAGAAGAATTTGGAAGTATTTAAGAGGAACAAATGAGACATCCAGGGCACCCGGTGGCATTTGTGGAGTGATTATGAATGTCTTTGCTTGGAGTCCCCATGCTCCACTGAGCCTTCAAGTCAAGTGCCTCTAATTATCTGTACACAGTGCTGAATATTCATTCCCCAGGACATGACTCTGACTCCTTGCAGCCTAAACATGCCCTTCAGTGCCCTTTAAATGTCCCGTCCCTCAGGAGTATGAGACCCAATCTAGCGAAGAGGCCAGATTCGTGAAGCAGTTGGACCAGTGTGAAATGATCCTTCAGGCATCAGAATATGAACACCTGGAGAATAAGCCTGGGCGACTTCAAGACTTCTATGATTCCACAGCAGGTACTCAAGCTCATAAACGTGTCTGATGGGTTGGGTTAGTGTAAGCACTGTTGGTGTGTTACTGAGCCCCAACAGGGGTAGAAAATGGTAGTGGCGGGATGGCTAGTTGAGGTGCCCTAGGAGCACTCAGGAGCACTGCCACTTGGACATCTGAGCACCATGTTCTCATTCTGCTTCTGCCGCCTGCCAGCTGCTCAGGAGCCCATGCCTCATCTGAAAAAATAGGAGACAGAATTCCTTTCTTAAGTCCAGGATTGGTTTTCAGGGGGAGGCAGTGCATGTGAACGTGCTCCGATGTGTTAGTGCTTTCGGGTTATAAGGTTGGGGTAGAATGAGGAAGGTCTCTTTTAGCTCGTAGTTTTAAAAGTTTTAGTTAAGATTGCTTGGCCCATTGCTTTGGGTGGTGGTACGTCATGGTTGGGTATATATGCTGGAGTGCAGCTCTTTACCTCATGGCCAGAACTTGACAAAAGGAGAGGCTGAGCCCTCACTTCTCCTTCAAGGGCACAAGCTTGTAGCTTCACGTTTTATAGGCTCCGCCCCTTCTTTATGCGCTGTCTGAGTTTCTTTTCACAATGTGGCAGCAGGAGTGAGTGGTTATGCCATAAACCACTGAGTATGGCATGTTTCCTTTCTGGCTCTTTCCTTTCATGGTGTGCCGCTCATGCTGTAAGAGGCGAGTGGGTTCCAAGTAGCGCATTTCACCAGTAATTTAAAATATAGGCCATCTTTGCCCTTTACGGTTAGTTATCTTGCATTGTAATAGATTCACAGTGGGAAAGATAGAAAGTGAAATACAAGCGGAATCAAATGTGAGTGGAGAGCTGTCTATCGAGTTCAGAGCCTGTTTCACTGAGAAAGAAACATAAGCCCAGAAAGACAGTGACTTGCTAACAGCGGCGCCGAAGCTAAGATCCACCTAGTTTGCACTTCAGCGCATTGCTTCCATTAAAAAGTTAGTAAACAAATATAACCCAGCCGATTGGAGAAAACTGGAGAATTGGCTTCCGTTTATGTCAGTGACAAATGCTTAAGGAGAGGACTCATTTCTAAGTCCATATATGTAAGAACAAAGATAAGGAGGCCAGGTAAATGGGAAAGGTTGGAGGCCGTGGAGGGAATGGAAAATTGATATGATTCTATCTTCATTTTAAAAAAAAGTTATTAGTTAAAAGAGAAAAGGTTTCATTAATAAGAAACATGAAGATACATGTAAACTGCAACTATTACAATTTAAATGTTTTTTCATATTAATTTATTTGATAGGTGTTGAGGGCATGCCATAGCCCTTGTGGGGAAGTGAAAGGACCACTTCCGGGAGCTGGTTCTCCCCTTCCACCATGGGAGGTCAGGAGTAGATTTCAGGTTGTCAGACTTGGTGGCAAGTTCCTTGACCCGATGTGCCAATGCACCAGTCCTGTGACAACAGTTTTGAAGAGGAGCTCGGCCTTAGCTTTCCTTTTCTCTCTCACTCGCATCACGGCTCTGCACTCTTTTTCTCTTCTTGCTTTCTGAACCCTTGGCTGAGGAGCAGGGACGATAGCAGACCAATTTTTATGTAGGTACTGGATCCTCTTAATTCATTTCAGTTTGGGGAAAAAAACACCTTCTCAACTCTCACACTCAGGTGTCTCCTAGAGTTCCTGGTAGAGGCACTCCAGGGCTGCCTCATGATCTTTCCTCTAGTTCTGCCTAACTTATGATTCTTCGCTTGATTCTCGTCCCTGTACCCTGGATAGAGTGGTCTCCTTTACCATCTCTTGAGACCTAGAGTCTCCTACTTTGAGGTATGGTCTAGCTCACAGAACAGAGCCCGGGATAGCCAAACTGAAGAAGTTGGTGTCTTCTCTCATCAATGTGGAAATGTCTTTCTCTCTTTTTTTTTTTTTTTTTCTCCTCCTCCCAGGAAAATTCAGCCATCCTGAGATAGTCGAGCTTGTTTCGGAGCTGGAGGCTGAGAGGAACGCCAGCATGGCCATAACCTCCACAGAACCAGGCCCTTGAGCTCTCCCTGCTGCTGTGCCATGCTGCTTTCTCCCTCTGCTTCCTGGGGATGTGTTTTCCTACAATTGGTCTGGGGAATTCCCAAGACAAGAGTCTTTTTTCTGTTGTCTGGACATGAACAAGAAATGTGATATAATACAGTCCCTAAAAGAAGCCATTGAACCAGAAATGCTCAGGAAGATGCCATGGACAAAGACTCGAAAGGAGCATGCCTTTTTTTGTGTGTGTGTGAATTAAATATTAAACACTCCAAACTTTGGCTTCTGTTTTGCTTTGTTTGTTTGTTTTTCCAATAGAGGGTTTCTCTGTGTAGCTACCTATCTGCTTACTTTGTAGACTAGGCTGACCTCAAGCTCACAGAGCCCCGCCTGCCTCTGCATCCCGAGTGCTGTGATGAAAGGCGTGCACTACCATGCGTGGCCAATTATAATTACTTTAAAGACCAGAGTCCTCTTCAGGCACAGTAGTGAGCTACTAAGTGCACGTTAGTCCTGTATCGTCACCCTGGTGAGATGCTATTACCACACAGTCACTTTCTCCAGGCTAACTTTTGATGCTCTTTGAGGGAATGTTTCACTCTGGCTGCTCCCGGACACCCGACGTACTCCTTCCCAAGAGCTGGCATTACAGGCCTGTGGCACCATGCCCAGCTGGAGCCAGATTTTACTGCATGATTCCTCAGCCTCTCACTGGACATCTCTAAGCCTGTTAGCAGGTCTGCCTTCCTTCCCATTATCTGAGGAAATAAACTGGGGTAAAGTATTTCCAACTCTATGTGTCCTCCCCTTTTTCCCTTATTTGATTTAGCACCTTGATTATAATAACATTTGTGAATGATTATAAAGAATGTTGCTGGAGTTACTGCACCCAAAGCAGTTCTCTACCAACCTCATGTCTCCCTTTCATTTCTCTCCGCTGAGATAATAATCCATTCTGCATGCCTTTAGGTTGTGTACCCCATCGAAAAGTGTGGAAAGGATGGCTGTCCATGCCAGCCTGCCTGGTAATTCAGCATGGAGCAGTGAAGCCTGTCCCTTTAATGGGAATGTCATCTTCCACTTTGAGGCTGGTATGGAGCATTCTAAGCAGCATTTCTCTGGAAGCTCTTTGCAGTATCCATGGATACCAAGTCTGCAGGAAGCAAGATACATGACCTCTGCAAAAGTAACACATTCATATATATATATATGAAAGGTAAAGAATGTGAAAATAGAGATGCCAAGTGCCAATCCTAATTTCCCTTCACTTTATCAGGTCTTTCACCCTCATCCCTGCTCTCCCTCACCTGATTCCCTCTCCCCACCCCCACTCCCATTCCCCTTTTCACCCCTTCTCATCCAGTTCCCTCTCTCCCTCCACTTCCAATGTTTATATTTTATTTCCCCTTCGTAGTGGGATTCAAGTATCTTCCCTTGTGCCCTCCTTGTTACTTAGCTTCTTTTGGTCTGTGGGTTTAGCTTGGTTATCCAGGATGATATGGCTAATATCTATTTATGAGTGAGTACCTACCATGTGTATCTTTCTGGGTTACCTCACTCAGGATGGTATTTTCTACTTTCATCCACGAAGGCCTTGGGAAGGTATGGGTGTGACCCTAGCTTGAGACTCCTAAGCATCGGGAGATACTGAGACTGAAGTAGCCATATGGTTTAGCCAGGCAGGTCTTCCAGGGGAGAGACGGGCACACCAACCCATTCACAAAACACTGGACCCATACTCTGTCCTGCTACAAGATGTGCAGGGATAAAAGATAGAACATGGATTGAAGGAATGACCAACCAATGACTGGCCCAACTTGAGACCCACCCTATGGGAGAGACCCAATCCCTGACACTATTAATGATATTCTGCAATGACTGTAGACAGGAGCCTAGCATAACTCTTCAGAGAGGCTTCATCCAGAAGATAACAGATGCTGAGACCCACAGCCAAACATCAGGCAGAACTCAGGGAGTCTTGTGGAAGAGTTAGGGGACGGACTGAGGGAACTGGAGGGGTCAAGGACATCACAAGAAGACCTACATAGCCAACTAACCTGGGCCCATGGGGGCTCACAGAGACTGAACCACCAGTCAAAGAAGATTCATGGACTGGTCTTCAAATTTGTAGATCCCCTACAAATACGAAGGGCTGCTTGGTTCTCACGAGGGTCCCCTAACAGAGTCCCCTGATTTGGACTCTGTTGCCTCCCTCTGGATTCCCTAGCAGGGCTGCCTTGTTTTACCTCAGTGAAAATGGAGGCACTTAGTCCTGATGTGACTTGATTTGCCAGGGTGGGTTGGAACCCTGGTGCCTGGTAAGGGGGAAGTGGATGGGAGGGTGGGACTGGGAGGAGAGGCAGGAGTGGAGTTGTGATTGGGATGTAAAATGAACAAACTAATGAAAAAGAAAAATGAATGTGAAAATACTGTTATTGAGAGTTTGATTAGCCGGAAAACAATTCTACCTACTAGGAATGTGGAGCCTTGTCTATTGGTCTGAAATTTTACACAAAGTAACTCCAGATACAGCTCAGGTGTTTGTAATCAGAAGATTTTTCATGGCCTTGGCCTTTGATTTCCAATGTTCTCCTGCTGCAGGTTTTTTATGAGCAGTTAGGGCCGTTTGGAGGCATCGGAAGCCTCAACTGGTGAGGATCTTAAAGTCTACATCATTTCCTCAGTTTATCATTTTCCTCCTAAGTGGCAGTTCACAGTGACACTTTAACTGAACTTTATTTCCAAACAAGAAATAAATGTGATGGCACTGTGAGTGAAATCTTAATTAAAAAACAAAACAACACACACACACACACACACACACACACACACACACACACACACACAC